AATTTTAAACTTCCTTGACAAAACCTAATTTTGGTGGACGTCAATCATCTCCGTCTCCTTGCCGACTGTATGCAAAATTTACTTGAAAAAAAAAAAAAAAAACGGGGTGAAACCTTGCGGCGGTCCACTCGGAAAAATTATCATTTTACTTTCAGTATGAACGGCTAGCTCACTAAACGCATTAGCATTAAATATTCCTTGAAATTTATAACTGAAGACGGGCGGGTCGGGTTTCTCAACGGCCATTAGCATGCATGAATGACCCCGAGAGCAAGTAAATCTACACGCAAACAAATTATTTCTGCAGGTGTTTGTCTTGGGGCTACGGACTGACCAAGACCTAAACTTCTTATAAACCTTATAATTTTGTAAGGTAATAAAGTTTAGTCCGTAGCCCCATTTTTTGGTCCAAGAAAAATACGTGCAGAAATAATTTGTTCGCTCGCGTTCAGATTCGCTTGATCTCGGGGTCATTCATGCATACGAATGGCCGTTGAAAAACTCTACAAACGTCTTCATTAAAAGATTTCAAGGAATATTTAATGTCGATGTATTTAGTGAGCTAGCCGTACATAAGTAAAGTAAACATGATAATTTTTACGAGTGGACCGCTGCAAGGTCTCAGAATGTTTTTTTTTTTTTTTTCAGGTAAATTTTGCATACAGTCGGCAAGGAGACGGAGATGATTGACGTCCACCAAAACTCAGGTTTTGTCAAAGAGTCCGAATCGCAGGCCTAACTGCGTGTCCATATCTCCTTCGCCCCATTTGACCGAGCGAGTACCAGGTCTAATCTAGCCTGCATCGCAGACGCGTGTGAAAAGTACTACTGTTTGTTTATTTGCTTTTCTTTAATTTTTTCTTGGTTTCACTACATTCCGGCTCCCCAGCTACGATAGTCAAGTTTGGTTTTAAGTTTGCTTCCTAATAGATTCCAATGCTCTAAATTTAGCTTAAAATTAGGGGTCATGGGCTCCGAGGATATTCTGACTGAATAAATAAACTAACCTTCTTCCAGTCTAGCTTACGCGAAATAAGCAAGTTGGCAACATATACTCACAGGCAGGAATGTTTGAAAGGATCTCTACTTCTGTAACAAAGAGATTTGAAGATTCATTCTATGTTCGTTCCTAGTGTGAAAATAACACTGAAAACAAAATTGTTCTCAACCAAATAAATTGCAACTAGAAGAACATCTTTGCGACATGAAGCGATCTGTTGAAAGTACTGCTGCCACCCCCGTCGGAATTTATATTTATAAAATAATTGAGGTACTACGCGCGCTCTGATTGGTGAAAAACCTATCGTTTATCATGATTGTGCCGGTAAACACATGGTTTCCGATACGCGGGCAGCACTACGTCAGAACTAGAGAACTGAGAACACTAGCGAGAACTAGAGAACTCAGAGCTTTATCTCATACATATTCGGGTTTCACTGGCTGAAATATCAATAACATATACATAGAAATTTGTAAGGAAATTTGTAACAAAATTTGTAAGGAAAGACAGGACCAGAATTTAGTCGCGATAGAATGCTTGATTTTTTTTTTTTTTTTTTTTTTTTTTTTTTNCATCCTAATTTTAAAAATTGGCATCAGCTTTTCTATAACAGATCTGATTGGAAAACAATTCATGCTTTACTGATTATAATTTTTTTGGTTTATCATTTCCATGGAAATATGTCTACGTCGATTCCGTTTTACGCTTGAGTTTAGAAGACGGTTTGACATGTAAGCGCTTTCAGTGCTTTCCACGGTCCGTGGAGGACGCAGTTCTGACTACAGCTGGGCTTGAATTATCAATTTGGATTGTTAAAAAGCAGGTAAAAGATTTATTTCGAGTTAATATTATCAGCTTATAAGTAGTTATAAGTCTAAGCTTAAATTCAAAGCATGGATGCATAACACGATAAATGAATTTAGCCGGCCCAAGCAGTAGTTTTCATTCAGCAAAATACGGGGAAACACAGACTTTATAGGCTTCAACATAAGTAAATAAATTCGGAATAAATTTAAGAAGCAGCGTTTCTAACTAACCTTTATTCCATTGGCAAAACTTTTGAAGATTGTGTGAGCCTGTGCTTTCAGCTTCTGTGATTTTTTTTTTCCTGCATCATATGACGAATTTGTCGAGAATGAGCAACTTGATCACAATGGTGCAAGAATTTTTTTTCTCTATGGCAAACATTTTGCGTAGCTATTTTATAAAAGCAATAGACCACACTTTCTATGGATTTATAGGGGTACTAACCCACTCCCCTTACAACTGCTGTCGCCCATTTACTCAACCTGTCCTGATGCTGTGCAAAACTCTTTCTCGTTTACTGACATCGTTTACATGTAATTGAGGGGACCTTGCGCTTAAGTGTTTTGCAAGACATTAAACTATGGTGCATAGCAAGTTTACTTAAGCAATAGACCACACTTTCCATGGGTCTATAGGGGTAAATTTGTAATAACCCACGCGGGATGTTGGGGGAACACGAGAAAAGCTTGTAAAACACGAGCCGTTAAGCGAGTGATTTACAAGCTTTTCGAGTGTTCCAATTTATCAATTGCGCATTGCAGTCATTTTGAGAAGACAAATTACAAACCACCTTGCTACCATATTTTAGTCAAACAGGTTTTCACCTGGTTAAGTCGTGGTGTGCGTATGGTATGAGCAACTTATTTTTAAACTTGTTTAGTTAAACCACTTTTAACATGTTGGTGTGAACAGGGTAGTGAGCGAGACTAGTAGCGACACTGACACGTTATCAATGAATACTGCTTCCTTTTATTTCTCTTCTTTTCCTATCTGCTTTGGTCACACTGATTGACATTCCCATATCAGATTCAAATTATCGTTTTTCGTAACCAATGTCAATTTTTTCAGGCTTCGTTAGACAGCCATACAGTTGAAAGTCCTAAATGCGAGACAATTCTGTCTTTCGCTCACTCGTTTTTTTTTGTTTTGTTTTTGGCCGTTTCCCTCGTTTCGTTTCGTTTTTTTTTTTTTTTTTTTTTTTGGTGGTTTTTGTTTCCGTCTTTTCGTTTTGGACGTTTTGTTGATCTCGTTTTGTTGTTTTGGGTTTTTGTACAAGCCGCTAAGGAGTTTGAAACTACACTGACGTCTAATGAGGCTTGGTTAAAACGAACAACAAAAGCAACCGAATGAAGATGAAAAGCAGCAAAACTCTCACGGGAAGATCCAAAAACCGACACAGGATCGTTTGTTATAAAAAATCAAAACAGATTTCCAGAATAAAATTAAACTCAGCACTCCAGTAAAGTGTGTTACCTTACATTTGGGTCTTCTCCTTTCATACTTCAGCGAACTCGATTCAGAGCAACACAACCTGTGGTCTTGATGATGGCTGCCACGTGAACAAGTAAACTCGTGCTTCATTTGACTCTCACAAGGCTGATACATTTTCAGCAACGCCTATACTTCGGATCTTCCCATAAACCTTTTGTCGTCTGTCACAATTTTCCAGAATGCAGACAACTTTGAAGGTGATTATGCCGAAAAATATTTCGGAGGAAAAGTCCGTCTCTCCTGCTTTCCTTACATGCTTCATTCAGCTCAAGAAGTGAACAACGCGCGACAAATTTTCCCGCCTATTCATATCATCACTTCATTTAGATCAAACTGAAATGTCCGCAGCACTTCAGCGTTTCATCAAGTTCAAGATGTATTTATCACTTCGTATCCAGCGTGGCCTGAGGAATAAATTCTAGTTATGCCACGTTTTCGAGTAGTAAACCATGGAATATCTTATACGTCACTTATATTTTCTCGCTAATGGGTGTTCAGGAGAGCCTTCAGGCGAGTGAAGCAGTGAATACAGTGGCCAACAGGGTCCAACAGAATCATTATGGGAAGGTTGCGAGTAATACCGTCGAATATACAACGGCTTTCCTGTATTCTGACTGGCTGTATTTCCTATGGCAAGGTATAATTGTTAATTAATTGTATTGATTTAATTGTTTAATAATGGTAATAGGACTGAGTGGAGTCCAATTCGGTCTATAATCATACGAGTGATTAACAAAATCGGACGATCGCGAAGCGGCAGTCCGATTTGTTAATCACGAGTATGATTACAGACTGAATTGGACGACACGATGTCCTGTTACCAATTAATCATAACAATTACATTTTCCCACAAAAGTAAAAGTTTCATTTGATAAAGAGCTTTTTATTGTCATTTTATATATCATAATTATAAAATATGGAGAACAGCTCGCAAAATGGCTGTCAAGTCTCTTTCAAAACAGTCACCAGAAACTAAACCTCCACAATTTTACAAAGTCAGTCTCAGTCAGTGGTTACTATAGTGATTGTAATCAATGTTGTGATTGGTGGATTTAGTGGAGAGGACTTAAAATGATTGGTTCATATAACTGTCCGATTACAGGTGTCCGATTACAGCCAACTGTCCGATTACACTGTCCGATTACAACTTTGCAGTTTATGCACCAATCACATTTGAGGAAATTGTAATTGTTATGATTAATTGTATAATTGTTCAGAGACAGTGTAAGAAGATTTATGAGGAATTTTCAACGTGACACTTGTACTCGGAAAAATAATAACTGCGAGCAGTTTTAGAAAATAGCCCAGAGAAATAAGCGCACTGACTGGTTAAACATTGTATTTCCATTTACCATCTTTATTCACTTATCAAATAAATGCCATGTTGCCGTACGTCTGTTCAATAAAAGAGCACAGATGACGTCAAATGTGATACTGAAAAAGAACGTGACACACGAGGCGTTAGACGTTTCACTTTCCTTAATCTGTGATAAATAAACGAGAAGTCTTAACAACCATTTACTTAGCGTTATTTGAAAAAACAATTCCATTCTCAGCGAAACACTCGCAGTTACGTAACACGTTGTCCTGGAGATGTCAAACGATACATGTGCTTGCAAAGCAGCGGAATTGCGAGAAAAGTTCACAAATGATCCACCGACCCCCAATTTACATAATCTGATAATCTGATCCAATACATGAAACCAGGGAGAATCGATGATGAGGAAGGATTTAAAAATGGGAAGATACGCGTTGAAGATGCTGTTACCGTTTTTTATTTGTTTTTTTATGCTTCGACTTAGTTTCTTTATAAGTTAGATACATAAACAGAAAGTGACTGAGTTGGGTCGTGAAAATTACATTGGTCGTGACTCAGATGGGGTCTATAACTGGCCACAGAATAGACTACAAAAGGGTTCTGATCTGACAGGCCAACAACATACCCAGCAAAACTTGACCCAAGTACCCCACCCCCCTTCTCACACCCGGCATCCATAGACTTGCCCTCAAGTTGAGCTGCGAAAGCCGAACTCGGAACGAGAAAATGTTTGCGACGTTCAAAGATCTTCAAATTGTGCCGGAAGACGACGAACGACTTTTGCAACAGCTTACATGAATACCGGAAGTTGTGTAATGAACGGCGCAGACGCCAGTTCCCAGGTCACCCCCCAAGCGGAACTCGAAACTGCTGAAAACTGCAAAATGAAAGTTCGGAAGATCTGAATTGCTGCTGTTTGATCGAGTCATGGGGACTTTGCAGGTCTCTGATATATTCCGTAGTTGTCAGTTTGCGGTCGATTTTGCTGCTTCCTCGCTGCTGTCATTCAAGAGGAAGAAAGAAATCCGACGAGATATTGTTGACAATGGAGGCATATTGTCATACATTTTGACCAAACAGGTAGGCGGCAGACGGATCACTTCGCTGCTAATTATAAGCTTAATGTTAAAATTTGGTATACCATATGTCGTACCAAAATTCTATGGATTTTCTGCTCTTATCTGATTACCTGCTTTTTATAGAATCAATCGTTCAAGCGTTTTATCGTCTTGTTACTGAACTTTTTAAACAAACGTTTATACTGTAATGTAAATATATTTTCGGCATACAACAAGTTGTGGGTGCGGAAGATGGTGGAAAGTTTGTATTTAAGCTGAAGCCTCTGCAAATAAATTTTGGGTGGTGGTTTTTATCATCTAGTAATCTGCTCAGCTTGACAAAGTGTTGATGACTATTGTCACTGAAAAGGAGTTTGAGAATGTCAATCACTCCCTGAGAGAAAATGAATGGGAAGCTGGATTACATCTACCCAGAAGTTTAATAGGTCATAACAAGAGATCTGATCACCTCAGGAACAGTGTATTTATACAGATGTATTCCCAGGAAAATTATTCCACACAGTGCATGATGATAAGCAGGAAGGGAAAGTTTGCCACTGAACGAATTGAGAGCACTGTAACTGGGTCAATCCCACTACTTCTTTCCTAGGACTAACCCGGGGTTGGGGGGGGGGGTACTCCCTTATATGGGCTATCTAGGTATGTGCGGCCCCAAAGGATATGGTTTTTCAACCGTTTCGGTCATAAATAGGGTATCAATTTTCGCTGATTTTGGCCATTTTGGTCGTAAATAGGGTATGGTTTTTGCACTCTAGCCTTGATATGGGTATGTTTTCATTAAGAAGAAGCCACTTTTTTATCATTACAGAAAAGAAAATCTGCAAAAGCCCTTCACAAATTATTTTTATGGTAATTTAACATTGGTCTGAACCAGGGGAATATTATAACGCAGGTCTGAAACAGGGTTTCAAATTTTTGGTCAGGTCATAAATAGGGTAGGGAATATCACAGATTTTGGTCACCCCGGGGTGGTCTAACAAAGTGAGAGGAGGCTGGGGAAGAGGGCCAGTTGTGATCCTGTTTTATCAATGAATTTCAACAAAATTCTTAGTTATAAAGTATATCGTTTTAGCTACCATAAATTCAGGCATCATATGTCTTTTATTTACTTTTCATATGTCAAACACCAATTTTTGCCCTGATCACGTGTCACATGTAATCTGTTTGCCACCCTCTCTTGGGATTTCACTCCCCCACTCCCCTTCCACCTGGGACAAATCCTTTGGCATGTTAAATTTCCGTCTTGCCTGTTGCTTTGTGATACAAAGACCTGGGTGAGGATTCACAGACCTGTTCACCTAAATTTGGATTCATGTACATGTATATCAGGCTTGTCTTTGTACATATTTGGTCAGGGGCAGATGAAGAAAATTCAGAAAGAGGGGGCCAAAAAAATCTTGGAGAGAATGCAACTTTGCCCCATACCCTACAGCAACAATGAGCATCTTTGGAGTGAGTTGGTTTCAGTTACAATCTTTTTTTTTTTCAAAAAAAAAAAAAAAAGAATGAAACTCTGGGATTATAGCCCCTCTCAGCACCACCTAAATCCATGGTAACTATTAAATTTTTGCATTACTTTGTTTTATCCCTAAGACAAGCTTTCTGGTCACTGGTGATGCTGAAAAGACTTTGTCCTCCTATAAAGGAAGAACTGCTGTGAAGTATGGAATTCCTGTGGTCTCGTTTGATTTCATTACTGAGTGCATCAAGTCTGGAAAGCTTCTTGATCCAGAGCCTTATCTTCTGGCAGAAACAGTTGAGTCACAGAACTTTGGTTCTGGAAAAATAGTTGGTAAGTTGTAAAGCTGTGAAAAAAAAAATTGTGAGGGATTGGTTAGATGTTACTACACTAACCCCATAAATTCCCTTTTTATATCCACAGATAACAAACAAAGTTGTAAAAAGCCAACCAAAGTAGGAAAGAAACTGCAGCTGCCTGATCTCAATAAAATAAGGTGGGATACCAAAAATTCCGTACATGGCACTATATAGTCATGTATGCCACTACACCTCCATAAATGGCTGACTTTATGTCAGGGGAGAAAATGTAAACTGTCAATGCTTAAAACATTTTCAGGCAAAATGGAACCTTGTTTTGAATAGCAATCCATTTTTTTTTGTAAAGGAGTAAGTGCTGCTTGTTTGTTTGTTTTCTTTTCTTTCCATCATATGGAATTATGTAAATTATGTAAATTTGTATGTATAATTTAAATACCTGTATTGTAATTTCATAAAATGTATCTTGTTAACACAAAAAGTAATTGTGTAATTAGAGTACAATGTACTCAATGCGGAGGTTATTTTTAGTAATAATATTCTTAAAGTTGCTTCATGTGAAACCAGTGTTTATGGAAGTAAGCTTAACTTGGTGTTGAATGATTAATTTAAAGCTTGCATCTATTTTTTTTTTTTTTTTTTTTTNAATGGCCAAACAGTGGTCAACAAGGGTATGAACATTTTCTTGACATTAAAAGTTATCATGCAACGGTATGGTCAGTTAACAACCCCATAATTTTATTAAGTACGTGTAATTTCAAAACGAGTCCCATTTTTTTTTTTTTTTTTTTTTTCACAGGGTTTGGCTTTACAAGGCTTCAGATGGTCCAGAATTCGATGAACAAAAATGTGAAATTAGTAAAGATGGTCTTTTGCATGTAAATAACAGTCAATAATAATAAACAATAACAAAATTATTGGATAAGGTTGAGCAATTATACCAAAGTGAAAGTTTGTGTTATCTGCCAAAGTCAAAGCACAATGCTTTCTCATTGTAAATGTCCAGATAAGCAGCTATGAGCAATTGAGGTTGCAGTAGTCAAGTTAAAATGTCACAGGTAGTTATTTATCTTTGGGTAATATTAACCTCCTTGTATGGGCTATATACACTGTAGGTATGTACGGCCCTGAAGGGTATGTTTTTTTTAGCCGTTTTGGTCATAAATAAGGCATCAGTTTTGGTCATTTGGTCTCAAATAGGTTATAGTTTTGCACTCATGTCTTGAGTTCCTAGTATTTTTTAGAAGAAGCTACTTTTTCATCATTATCCATAAGACTGTCAGCAAAAGCCCTTTGTAACGTCTTTAACATTGGTCTGAACTAGGTATCTTTAATTATGAGACAGCTCTGATACAGGGCATTGATTTAAGGGTCAGGTCATAGATAAGGTATCAAATTTTTGGTCAGGTCATAAATAGGGTATGGAAAATCGCGGATTTTGGTCTTAAATAGGGTAAGGGTTTTGGGAAGTGGGCCACACGCCCCCACCTGATGTTTCTGCAAGTATCCCTGGGATATTAACATCCTAACTACATTTCATTGGTGTGTATATTATTACTGTGTAATTCTAGGAAACATAATGTTTTTCTTTTATCTCTGTATAATTTTGTATAATTTTTATCTCTGTATAATTTTCTTACAGGGTTTAGATTCCAGTGTCAGTACAATCTTGTTTTATGCACTGGAGTTACATGTTATTCCTCCACATGTTCCCTGTAGTGGTTCAAGATATCGGATATTTACGCACCATGGGGACCTTGGTGGACTCTTGGTATGGTGTAAATAGGTTAGATATTAAGGCAACATAAATCCAAGGGATTAGTCTAATAGTATTCACTTTCTCTTTTTAATGTAACATACTATCTACAGTACTTTTGTTGAATTTCAAACATACATGTGGCATAAGTTCAGAAGGGCTATGTATGCTTTTTGAAATCTTCAGTCTGAAGATTTTCTTTAAGATCTTATCATTTATTCTTCCTACCCTGCACTGCATGAGTTAACCCCTTGAGTGCTTGAGCATTGTGTACCCTGTGTGCCACACCATTTTCACTCAAAATCGGTGTCTAGTAAAAAACTTTGAATGCCATAAGCTTTTTAAATTAAACTTTAGGCATGTACACATTTTCTGAAAGGTTATAAAAGTGTCTCTTCAATGGGTCAATTTTGCTAAGGTTGACGTAATTTGATATCCACGTGACATCACAGCAGTGGGAATTTTGAAGTCTATCAAAAAATCTTCTACGAGCCTCCGGTGCCGGTAAAAATTGTTTCTGGTGTGCCGGGAATTCAACTAAATCTCTTAAAATTTTGACATACTGATCATGAGTACATCATGTAGGCACCTGAGGAGCAAAAATCATGACGTTTTGAGTATGTCGTATAGGCACTCGAAGGGTTAGAGGAATTGCATGAGGTCTTTCTTCTAAGAGCAAAGGCATCATTAATGTTCAGTTTAAAGATTAAAACACAATATCTACAGATGGAACCTCTGACTGACATCAAATATGAATAAAACGCAGGAGGATCTAGGGGGTTAAGGGGGTGGGATTGAAGCTCCTAAATTAAAAAAATTAGACTTTATGACATGCTGATTTGGTCTCAGAATGCCAGAAATCCTTTTTCCAAGGGCCTCAATTTTAAACATTTTCTGGGGGAGGACGCGCCTGGACCCTCCTACATGGGACCTGCTATGGCAGTCCATATCTCAAACCCCCTTCTCCAAAATCCTGTATCTGCCCCAGATAAAGGTCCCTATTTAACAATTAGATTATTCGCTCTTGATTTCAATGAAGTGATAGTTGATGAGGCCAAAGGCCGAATCAGCTATCACCTCCTCCAAAACTTCAGAAAAACGATAAAAAGGTCGTATTTCGTAGACGACCAACAGCCACTGCACTCTAATGGTTGATAGTATACGAGTAGTGCAGCCAATCAGATTGCAACATTTGCATTAGCATACTAGTAGAATTCTACTAGTATGCTAATGCAAATGCTGTAATATGATTGGCTGAGCCATTGAACACTATCAGCCATTAGTGTGCAGTGGCTGGAGGTCGTCTATGACGTTTCTTTTGTTTTTCCAAAGTTTTGGAGGAACATTTTGATGCAAATGGATAGTTAAATTCCTGAGAAGTCAAAATTAAGGACATATTTTACAGTTTCTTGACATTTAAAAAAGTTGAAATTTTTGAAAAAACTGATGTGCGCGCACACAAAACTTCAATTTTGAATAACAATTCAATCCGACTGAAGAATTCTATTAGCTCTCAATTTCTATGAGGTGATAGTTGATTTGGCCTTCGGCCTCATCAGCTATCGCCTCATAGAAATCTGGAGCTCATAATCTAATTGTTAAATAGATTATGAGTACACTGTATTATTATTTATATATGGCTGTGTCTCACAAGGACTGGGAACTACCGAATTCACAAATTTGATAGGTTGAAAGAGATACTGAAAGCAGTGTAGATTTTCTCATCTAGACCTACATTTTGCAGTGAAAAAGTTGCAAACTAAAATGCAAAAATATTGACTATTTTCTTCTAACACTATTTATTTATGGAAGTGCCAAAAAGCCTGATGAGAAAAAAGTGTAAAGGATGAGCACACTTTGGCAGAATTAAGTTCAGCTCATCGCCATTCGCAAGCAAAATGTCAGCTGGTGTAAACCCATTACTTTAAACAAATTAAATTGTTCTTGTTTGCCATATTTTAAACATCTTATTAACCGAGCTTAGTTGGTCTGTATGGGAGAATCTTGACCTCGTTCATGTGTACAGACCTCACTGCCTTCGGTCTGTACTCATGTCCTCGGTCAAGATTCTCCCATACAGACCTACTGCTCGGTCAATAAGAGCTAAGTATCAATCAAATATTTTCTTGTGGAATTTAGAATAAAGACATCAACACTTGCAGACATTTTTAAGCCTTATCAATAAAGTCTGCTAAATTTGCTCAAGATTATATTTTTATTCTACATGTACATAAGTGACACTACTTTCACAGTGCCTCTCACCACCCAGGTGTATAAATAGGTACTGACAAATTTAATGCTGCAGGTAACCCTGCAATGAACTAGCATCCTAGGGGGAGTAGAAATACTCATAGTCGCTTTATGCTACTGAAACCAGAGATACAGCACCAGCCTGATGGCCTGCCACTTGGCTTGTATGTACACTTTCCCGTTACATAAGTAACACAGTCACTTACATATTTTACTCTTTATTTTAACAAAGTGGTGTATTGATTTTTCATAGCATAGTGATGAAGGAACCAAAGAATGCAGATACTTTGAAACTGCTGCAGAGGCACTAGCAGCTTATGTTGCTCTGTATGATCGGCAGACCCAGTCGCCACATAGCATGACAAGGGCGGAGACTACTCTGTCACATAAGATTGGTTCTGATAAAATGAAGCAGGTGGGGCAGGTCACATGTGCACTCCTGATAGATGCAATCCTTTCTTTTTTTCTGACTTTCAGTGCATTGTACATGCACATAGGAATGCAACAGGTTTCTGCAATTAATGGCCACCTCTACTTTACTTGAGGCAGCTTACATGACAACATTACCTACTACATACATGTACATGTACATGCACAACCATTTCACATTGGTGGCCTATAGACCCTTTTCAAATGTGGCTGTCAATTATATATTCTTTTGTAAGTACTTATATTTGCTTCAGTAACCCCATTTTTAAGTTGATAATTCAAAAGAATCTTTAATCTCAAACAAGGTTAGTGAAGCTAATTTAAATGCTTAAAAAAGAATTTTTAATTAGCAGCAGTATTAGTTGGAAAGTTGAGAAAGAAAATTTCAAGTTATGCATACTGAGGCTGTACCATTTTCTGGGTCAATAAAGTTTACAGTTTACAGCTCTTTTTAACTGCACCTTTCTGCTTTAGTTCCAAACAAACTCTAAGAAATATTTGCCCAAACTAAATAGCACCATTTAAAGTCAGTCAAAAATAAATAATATATTATTTATATTATAAGAATTTTGGACATATAGTGCAAATGTAACAACACTACAAGTACATAAAATTATGGTGTGCGTCACAGAAAATATGGAGTGAAGAAATCATTTTATATTAATGCAAGTGTAGCTCAGCTAACATTACTAACTGGAAAAAAAACAATTATTTTTGAAAATGGCAAAGTTATCAATACAAGCTAATTACTTTAGCATTCCATGATTCCTTTTCTTTCTTTCAGATGACAATAATTGACTACTGTTCTGAGGAAGACTCGGCTATGTCTCCTGAAGCTGCGAACCTCATCGATTTTATTTGGAATGAGGCAACAGGCTGTCTTACTGACATTCTTTCCATCTCTGTTGACTCCATTAAACTTGAGGATGTAGAGAAAGCTGAAGCAATTTTACTCTTACTGAGAAAATCATTAGATGCCGATGAAGGTACCAGCGCAATTCAGGAACTCTCTAACGAGTTCTTTTCAGTTATTCCTCACAAAAACAGAGGAACAGGAATAACATCAAGGCACCTTATTGCACAAAAACAAGACTTGTGTCAGGTAAAGCTAGAAACTACTAAACTTGATTGCTTCTTATTTCTATTGCTCTGGATAACTTGCTTCAATGTCTCTAATTAATAATGTGTATGAATTCCCATAGTCAGACAATTCATATCGCAGATTAAGAAATATCTAGTGAAATACTAAGATCTCATTGGTAGTCAATAAATCTTGTGACTTGCATGTTCGGGATTAGACTCTGGCCCTGCAGCCGGGCCCCAAGTAGATGTAACAACTCTCTATGTCTAGATTCATATTAATATGATTAATATTCAAATTAAGTCTTTCACTCTAATCGGATTTATCCTTGCAATATTTTTGTTTATTTAAAATCACAGGCTACAATGCTCAGTCTGTGCACATTACTTGCCTACAATGTTAATTCAGTACCATAGGTTGGCAGTGTACATGTATGTCTACAAAGAGCCATAGCTACATAGCTCTCTGTGCACATTGTTTTTCTATGATGGTAACCAATACTAAAGATTATTCAGTTAGGTAACGGAGAGGTTCATTCTCTGCACTAAACTTAAAAGAAAAGTATGCTGCTGGTCAGTATGCGCTTAGTGTGCATGTATGATCTGAAACTTGCCAGGACACCATATTTTGAATGCACACTAGGACTGTCTTGTACAAGCTTCCTTATTCTAACAACTTTGTTGACATGGATTTTGTTTTAAAAGTCAGCAGTAGAAGAAAGCACTGTTACATATTTAAGTGTATAACCGTGATTTCCTCTACTAATGTCTTCTGATCTGACAGCTATATATGACTGGAGTAAACTGTGGGAAATGAATTTTAATTTTACAGAAATGTAAACAACTCTGCATAACAAAAAAGAAAAAACCTATTCATAGTATCTATCATCTTGGCACGGAAAGTTTACTTATGACTGACAAGGAGAAGGATTTAGGCATAATACTACATCATAAACTGGCCTGGCATGATCACATCAGTACAAATCTAAACCCTGCAAATAAGATCCTGTGGCTAATTAAACGTACATGCGGAAATCGGACACAGACTGCTGTGATACGCAAGCGTTACATCCATCTTGTGAGACCTCATCTCGAATACGCCTGCAAGATCTGCTCCCCTCACCAAGCCTTTTTACAGGATATGATTGAAAGCGTTCAGAGACGAGCCACGCGACTCATGATCAAAGGAAAATCTTACACGGAAAGTTTAAAATCTCTCCATCTTCTTACCCTTAAGTCTAGAAGGACTCTACTTGACTTGATCTTTTTTTACAAGTGTTTAAATGGTCTTTTAAATATTAACCTATCCAAGTTTATTAATTCCAGAGACACTGCAGCATGCAATCTGAGAAATGCTGACCTGTCATTTAAANTATTATTATTATTATTATTATTATTATTATTATTATTATTATTACCGGTTTTATTGTTATTACTTATATTTAATTTTTTTTTCTTTTTCTGTGGTTTGGGTGGCCATTTGTAAGGGAACTTGTTCCTGTTTTTGGCTTTCCCCCTCAGCTTTATATATATGAATATGTATGTATTTCTGTTGAGAAAATGATTAAAGTAAGTTCTACTAATACGTATAACATCAAAATCAAGCAGAGAATTTCACCAGGGAGTTAAAAATTTAGATTTCAGGTTAGGTCGAAATCAGAAAGCTGCATTATCTTCAACTTAGGGAGAGGCACCACATTCATTTAATGGAAGTGTCAGTTCAGTCAACGAAGCAAGATTTTTCTCAGTAGTATTGCACAGTGTCATAAGCAATGGTTTGACCATGGGGGAAATGTAAAACGGACAAGGACTTGCACTGAGCGTCAGTGAGCCAGAACTAAGCTTTTCTCGTATTCTGTTTTGAAATATTATTTGTCGTCACAGCTCATGAAGGACATGGTTAGTATTGGTGAGTCTACAAACTGGTTAACAAGGAAAAGTGTGTATGCCAAGTACAGGGCGTTGAAGTCTCACATTGAATGTTTGACGCATGACAGCGACGAGTTTGAAAAGATCCGAGAACTTGTGAATGCAAGCGAAAAAGGGTAAGTATTTATTTGTCATAGACTGGATGTCATCTTTGAATGTAAAGATTGTAACTTGTGCCCAAATGCATGACAAAAGTTTCTCTTCCATTGTAAAATGACAACCCAAAATCTGACACTTCAATATTTTTAACTCATGAGACATTATCATACTAAGAAAACTAGGCAGAAGAATTAGAAAGACTAGTCTAGACAAACTTTGAGTTTCATCCAGTGAGGTAGAGATTACCAGTAACTACTGACACGAATTAAAACAGGAAACAAGTTTATTTTTGGCGTGGTGATAACACTATAGATGATTTGTGTTGGATGGTCTTGAATTCACCTCCTCCATGCCTTGTTAAAGTAGCCAAGTGGTTGGTGTCAATCAGTTGGTGTTCTTAAATGAAGTATGTTATGTTTGGTGCTATTTGTTCCATAACCACAGACCTCGAAATAAGCTCGTACTGCAGCTCTAAGCACATAATCTATAGTATAAAAAAGTTGTTTTAACTTTGACTACCTTTTTGTTCTACCTAATTTCAAACGTACCACAAGTCGTTTCACTCGGTCGTGTTTCAGCAAGTGCATGTATGAGGGCAGCTTACAAGTGACAAAGTAACCAACATATTGGGAAAAAAAATGTCTATTGCAAAGAACTTTTAAAAAGTCCGGACAATGTTACAGTAGAAATTATGCTATGTGAATTGACCACACTTCTGATGGATTTTCTTTGTTCTCTCTCTGTCATAGTGATTCCAGGATCAGTGTACTCAATGTTTTCTCCATTCATCGCCCAGTGGAGGAAAGTGCTTTTTCTCATGACATTGGTAATAAGAGACTTCTTTTCCACTCATCAAAGGTGAGAACATTTAAGTACCCGCCTTGTTGTTGTTGTTTATAGTGGTCAATGCGCTTAGCTACACCTAGCTAGTTCACAGGCATGTCACTTTAAATGAAAGAAACAAATATATCAACTAAACGTAATAGGCTTAAAAATCCCAACCTGCGGGAGGCAGACCAGTTGGCTATTTACAAGCATCACCGAGGAGTTGAACTAGGGTCTACCGAGAAACAACTCCAGCTAAGTGGTCAGAGCGGGACTTAAACCCGCGACCTCCGGATTTCAAGTCCGGCGCCCTAACCACTCGGCCACGCTGCCCCCACAAAAATCCCAGGAAATTCTTTTACAAAAGCAAACTGATCTTAGAATGGAATAAATAAACACTACTGTTCAGTTAAGAGCGCCAGCCAGTCCTCATGTTGTGTTCTTGGGCAAGTCATTATACCCTCTCAAGTTCTCTATCCTGTGGTGAGTATTGTTAAGTGAACCAATTTGACAAAGTTCTGGATGTAACCTGCTTGGACCTAGGATCCCATCTTGGTGGGGATGGGGCGGGCGCGCGGCAAGGAAGGAGGAGCAGTAGTCTAGGAAACCTCATGTATGAGGAACTGGGATAAGCCTCAGCACTGTTGGTTGCTTTGACCCAAGAGCATCCATAAAAATTGGCAGTAAGTTATGTACTAATGTGCGACAAATATCATTGCAGGTGACAAACTTTGTTGGTATACTTTCAAGGTCAGTAGACATGGCGCACTTACAAAAGTCGTTAATAAATAACAAGCCATGTTATACTGTCATAAACATGTTGCTTTGAACAGCTAATTTGAGCACGCGTAGTATCCATTCTGTTCAGTAATATGGGATTGAATATAGAGGCAGCATAAATATGTTGTTGATTGACTGTCGTTTAACTGTTCGTCTGTTCGTCTGTTCGTCTGTCAGTCTGCCTGTCTGTCTGCCTGTCTGTCTGCCTGTCTGTCTGCCTGGCTGTCTGTCTGTCTGTCTGTCTGCCTGTTTGTCTGTGCACCAACGTGGAGTAAGGTCGATGGTTTGCCAACAGTCGGTTGACAAAGGCCAACAGACGGCCGTGTTTCCTCATTACAAACCCCTTGACAAATTTTTTGTTAAAAGTCTAAATATTGTGTTCATTTTGAAACAACATGAACCTTTCCTATAAACAAGTACATGATTTACCACGTGATTTCTCACCTTTGCAGAGGACTTCTGATGCCTAAAATTGTTGTTGACGATTTTGGAGGCCAACGATCCGATCCAGGAATGCTAGGAAGCGGAATTTACTTTGCCAGTTCTGCGAGGTAAGGACTAAATGAAAGCTATACATCTGGCCTGGGTTGTTCGAAAGGTGGATAATGCTATCCACCGGACAAATCGCCATCCAGTGGATAAGTGTTAACAAAACAAACCACTCTATCCGCTGGAAAGTGATTTATCCGGTGGATAGCGTTATCCACCTTTCGAACAGCCCGGGCCAGGGCTATGATACGTATATAGCTGACCCCATCAACCTGAAACATGGCAAGCAAGATTCTTTTCCTCAGATCCTACGTGCAAGCCGGCATTTATCAATAGACCAATTTCGATATATTAAAATTCAGCCTACAGCAATAGACCTCAGAACGAGGCTCTGGGGAATAAACCCAACAAACTCTTCCCCAGAGCCTCGTACTGGGGTCTATTGTTTTAGGCTGAATTTTGATATATCGAAATTGGTCTATTATACAAATCAGCGCTATTAAGTTTCCCATTTTAAAAACTGTTGCAGTTAATTACAGTCCATTGGTTAAGAACAGCTACTTACAAGTGAATTTTTTGTTTTAGCACAAGTGCCAGATATTCTGCTCCTGGAAGCAAGGGAACGAGACTGATGCTTGTAAACGAGGTTGCGTTAGGAAAAGTCAAGGTATGAACAAACATTATTATGTACGAATACTACTGTAATAAGTTATAGTGACAGGTGTTGTATTTTTTGGCAATGTTTGGTTTTATAGTTTTCCCATTTTCTCAGCCAATCAAAGAGCAAACACCTGGACGTGCAATTTATGATTACGTGGCGACCTTGATTTCTCCGCCTCAATGAGTAAATTGTTTTTTTATTGGCTGCACAGGTGCTAAGCGTGCCCAACCAAGATCAGTGACTCTGACTTGTTGTTTAATTATGCTCGATTATGAACCTCTGCACACAAATAACAGCCAATCACCCAATCAGCCAATAACTATGAAACTGGTTAAACGAAATACGAGCCCGGCTTGCGTTGGATGGCGAAACAGACTCACAATCTACTCGCAAGTGCACGGAAGTTTTAGATTAAAAAAAAAACTTATTTATTCCTTCCACGTGTGCTGTAATTCAGTACTCGAAGGAAGCATCACTCTGAAAACTTACCTTGGCTTAAGCTGGGTGTTCAAACGGTAAAAGACCTTCGTCGACTTGCGCGCTAATTTGATTTTGATCAAAATGGACGCCAAGTAACCGTTAGTGTTGACAAGTCGTCATCGAACAAAGTCCCACGTCGACAAAAGTTAAGAATTTTATGTCCCCGTTTTAATTTCCCAGGGCTTAACGCTTTTATTTTATGTTTTCAAGGAGTTTCGGAAGTTTTCCTTGGATTTGACATCACCCCCACTTGGATATAACAGTTGTCATGGATTGATGACTACAGAGGATGAGCCCTCAGATTTCAAGGTCAGCAGTTAAGCGTTGTACTCGACCGCTAGGTAGCCCCCTGGTAGCTCCCATAGTGACATTTTATAGATTTAAAAAAGAGTGCCGTTTTCTAAATGGAAAGCAAAACATAAATCACTTATCAGTCTTGTTGTTTTATTGAAGAAAAGATGGTATATTTTTGGTAACAAATATAATCAAGCTTCGTTTTTCCTTTACTAGGATGATGAATTTACTATCTACAACGGTAACCAACAGAAAATAAGGTAACTGGAAGAATGTTTAGAGCGGTTTGCAATGGAGTGTCCAAAGTAATCAGGCAATTACTTTGGTTTTGGTTTTGGTTTTGGTCAGTTTTACTACGGTTTGAGATTGGCTGAGTAGAGCGGTTTTCAATTGACAGCGTTTTTCATTTGCGTGTCGAAAAGTAATTGGCTTTGCATCAACTACGTTACGCGAATGGCTTAAAAAATACTCGCGCCACTTTATCATCCAGTCAGAAGTAAAACCAAAACCAATCGTTACTCGTGCACACTCGTTTTCCCGCGCTTTGCGTCAGCTTCAGCTTTGATTGTTTCACTGGATTTTCTGTGTCCTCTGTGATTGGCTAGTGTGATTACTTTGGTTTTGGTTGAACGATACTCAATTGAAAACTGTCCAGTGTGGCTCCAGTGTCGTAAAAACCAAAACCATACCAATTACCTAACAATTTCTCTGCTCAGCCAATCTCAAAGCGCAGTAAAACCAACAATAAAATCAAAGTAACATACTCAATTGAAAACTGCTCTAGTCTAATCGGTGAGTAACTGGTTTGGTTTAGTTTTACGACACACTCAATTTAAAACCGCTACATATAGTTTACAGATTTGTTAACAAAGTTTGGCTTTAGCTGCCTGGTCCTTCATTATTAGCAGATTGTTCAATTTACTACGTTTCTTTGTAGATATCTGATTGAGTTTGTTTTACCTGGCGACACAGTTCTTCCCAGAGATGACATTTCTCTTGATAGTGGTTTCTCGGATGATGAAAGGGAAGTTGTTTCAGAAGGTATTCACAGCATGAATAAAAAGTTTATGTTTGTCGCTAAAATTGCTTCGCATCACATCTATAGAGTTGGGGTAGGTGGTTTGTTTTCAATGGATAGGTTATCTATGGAGCAAGGAGAAGAGTGCACGTGGCCCCTATGTTGGATTTCGAATTTATTACATTTACCCCATATTACAAAAATAGTGATTAAAATCATAGAAAAAAGAGATGCAGGTGACCAAAAGCACCGCGGCGCCATGCTAAGGAAACCCCTATGACTGAAATGTTAAACTATATACACATATGTACAATATATTAAAAAAAACTCTAGATAAGCCAAAAAAAAAAAATCAAATTACTCGAAGATTACTACTAACGTTAGATGAGATAATTTCTGAACATTATCGACTATATTGATTTGATTTATTTTGTGTTGCCCGACAGAAATGAAGTCAGCTTAATACCATCCGTGGTAATTTGCTCCCTTTTTGACCATCCAGGCTTTTTTGTCTTTCATAACTTGTTTTGTGAAGTTAAAGAGATAAACAACGCAATGCCAGCCACTGAGAACACGAAGCAAACATACGTAATCGACGCCAAGCGGGAAACTCGCGCGAAAAGTCGTCGTGATTCGTTTCGCATCTGAAACAAATCAGTGGCGCGAGTTTCCGTTACTATCGACATTCGATTGAAAATCGTTCTATTTTGAGGCTTGATACAATTGGAAGACCAATGTGCGTAATTCAGTGGACCCCCTTAGTTGATGTTGACATTGCTAATCATGTGATCCCATGATGTAATGTTACTCGGATTATGTGGCCTTAAATATCGTGTACTTTTTCTTTGCATTCATACAATGACCTCTAGGTGAAATTTTAGGTTGGAACTCGGTCAGATTCACTTAAGCCAGTTGATGTAAGTTGAAAAACGGAAAAAATCCGATGCAATCACTTCGTAGAACTTCACTCAGCAGAATGCCTAGTGTAAAATGTGTTCAAAATATCCCACGGCAGAACTTACGCATTTGTTTGGCGCTTTTCTACACGTCTCCCTGACCACAGAGCACTTCATTCGCAGCATGAAGTATGAGGAATGTTATCCCTGTACATGAGTTCATTATAATTTTTTATTGAGCCGATGTATCCAGTAGTCTCTTAAAAGGAATTACTGGGTAAGTAGTCACGTCCCATGTATTCTTTCCCAGACTCCTGTGTGGACCTAACAGATGTCATGTCAGTCGTGGATCCTCTGACAAAAGTTGAGGCAGGACTTAAGGGGACTGGGGACAAGGCTATTCCGCTGCAGTCAGTTCACATCAAGGCCAAGTTGTTGGATCTTGCCGCGCAGGTAAAGATGCTGAGGCACCTCGATGATATTTAGAAATAGGAGAGGGGAAAAAAAATGCCATGTTTGGTAATGCATTTAAACAGCTGTCTCCCCTTCTACAAGATTTATTCGAAGTGTGCCTCATTTTGTCCCAACCCCATTGAACTCATTCACTCTTCCTCGGCACAATTTGCAATCCCAAAAACTCTAAATTTCATTTTGGAAAACATGCTAAAGTGGAAAATAAGTACTGGAAGTACTGCTTAATAGCTGCCATTCACTAAGCTTTCTGTCGTGTACTGGCTTATGCTTTGATACCACGGGAAAGTATTGGAAGTAGCGTTAATTTGAATGGTAGCATCACTAGGGTTTCATCTCACAGAGGTGGCCTCTACAGCCTAAACAGTGCCACATGGAGACTCCTACGCGTCACCTTTCATTTATATGGTATCACAGTGGGGTTTTACTTCTAAAGAACGTAGAAAAAATTGCCAGTGCTTTGTTTTATGATGATCCTATTTTGAGCTAAAAACCAAGCAAAACGTATTGCTCTAAACACATAGATTGCGGCCCTATACACTCATTCTAGTAAGATAACGAGTTCATAAGAAAATGATTTATATTTTATCTTTAGGTGATAGTCTTCCAAGAGTACAAAAACAACAGTACCACACCCATAGAAGCCAAGTACGTTTTTCCTTTGGACGACATGGCCGCAGGTGTGTGCCAAGTCCAACTGTTTTTGTTTTCTTTTTAGTTTTTTCTTTTTCGCCATCTCGACAGTCTGAAACACCGCTCTCTTCTCCTCCTCCGAGGCTCCCTACGGGAGGGCAGGTGGAAAGAGAGTGGTGGGGGAGGAAGCCCAGGAGACGAAGGGAGCCTCTGCCCCCGCCCAGTGTTCCCCGTGCTCTTTCTTTGTTCCCTCTCCTCGTATCGAAAAAGATATAAAGCGTTTGAGAGGCACAATGTAGTAACGGGACTGCGTATTATTGGTTCTAGGCTCGATTTCCACCGCCGCTCTCTCGTGGCGCGGGCTCCTTTCCCGAACAGCGACTGGTGATCGAGCCTATATTGGTTCTAGCCTGCCTAATATCCTTTTATATAATAATCAAATGAATGCGCGCGCTCTGATTGGTCAATCAGCTATGGTTTATTGTGCCAGTAAACTCATGGAAATTTCGCGTGTCTTCTGAACTATTATATAAAAGCAATAGACTACAAGTTTCTATGGTTTAGAGGCATAATAAACCACTTGGGATGTTGGAAGAACACTCGAAGAATCCGTAAATCACTCGCCTGCGGCTCGTAATTCACGAATTCTTCTCGTGTTCTTCCAACATCCCGCGTGGTTTATCAGCCTGTAAACCTTAAAAACGTGTAATCTATTGCTTAAATGTTGTATTGTTCAGCGAAATACTGTTCTTCTCTGTCTCTGATATCCTGTCCACCTAGGTGTATAAACTCCGGGTCTGTTTATGTTACGGAAGCGTTGTTTCGCCAGTTTTGATGAACCTCGTGGCTCTTTCAATTCCTAGGTCTTGAACAGACTTAAAACCCTGACTTTTTTCGAAATTTTACAAAATTTTACAAAAAGTAATGTTTTACTTCCTGTTGTAGTTTGTGGTTTCGAGGCATTCATCAACGGTAAACACATCGTGGGTGAAGTGAAAGAGAAAGAGCAGGCCCACAAAGAGTATCGGGAAGCCATCAGTCAGGGGCATGGGGCTTACCTCATGGACGAAGAAACTCCGGTATGTCACTTGTCACGTTGCCTGTCCCATTATCCTGTTTGTGTTATAAGCTGAAAGCCATCGTGAATCTCTTGAATATCCATGACATCAGAAAACCACCAAAACTGACTCAATAGAAAGACGCCAGAATGATCTAAGACTGATAAGTGAATTTACTGCTAATGACATCTTTGTTTGTCACTCTCCACTTTGCAATTTGTTTTTTTCTCTTGTCTTTCCTTAGGATGTGTTCACCGTCAGCGTAGGAAACCTCCCTCCCGGTGCATTAGTGTTAATCAAGATAACATACGTCACTGAGCTCACGGTGGACAGGGAACACATTTGTTTCTCGCTCCCAGGCTCTGTGGCACCGTGGACACGTGACAAGGCCTTGGACGAAGTTACTCAGGTTTGCTTTAGTATACTGATCACTTTGTAGTTAAGTGTTTATTAAACAGTAATGGGAACAAATTACAAGTTTAATTTTGTAGAAAACCAAAACAAATCTCACCGTTATAATTCACCTGAATATTACAATGACTAATGGAAGCCTTATATTGAAAAGGAAGTTGTTCACCAACACTAACTATCTAAGCGTAATTTTGTAGCCGGCTATGCACTTAAGTCCGATTTGTGATATGTGATTTACAAAATGTGGTTACAAACGCTTCACTCAGGTAACGACACAATTTTGCTTGTGCGTTTGTCACACAACGTATTTTATTCAAACATTTATTTCTAAATCGATGGCTTTTTTTTTCAGACTGACGTCGAGACAGTAAAGATGCAGGACGAAAGCCTGAGGTGAGTTCTGGTATTACAATGGCGCTGACTAGTACCCATTCATCTGTTCTTCTCCCGCCGGTTTCTTGCAGACATCCCAGAGCAGTCTGGGCTCTACCTCTACAAGTCTTACCTTAACCCCTTTTTACTTGCTATCAATAAAGTTTTTTTGTGTGTTTCTTTTATAGCGATCTGTATGAACTATCCGTGGAAATGTCTGTGGAGATGCCGTTTGAGATTCGTACACTNCCTTAACCCCTTTTTACTTGCTATCAATAAAGTTTTTTTGTGTGTTTCTTTTATAGCGATCTGTATGAACTATCCGTGGAAATGTCTGTGGAGATGCCGTTTGAGATTCGTACACTTGAGTCTCCTACTCATGTTATTACAACCAAGGTAACGCTAACCATACAGTGTCAATAACTCGTAAATAGCTAGTCAACATGATTTGATTAATTCATTTTGAGCTTGCAGAGATATTCTGGACTAAACTCGCTTATTTTTTCTCCTCGAGAAATCTTAGACATCAGATAGAACTAAGACTAGCATTTTTGACGCAAGGTGTGTTTGTTGTATGGAGGATATACTTAAATCTTTATCTACGATTTCTTTGTCCAGCGGACAGCCACCAAAGCAGTGGTGTTAATGGAGCGTGGTCAACCTCTAGGTGATGGTTTCCAGCTTCTGATTGGTTTAGCAGAGATTCACGTACCCCGGATGTGGGTTGAACG